TTTTCCCCCTGTCCCTTGAATAGGAACGCCCAAACAGCAGAAAGTCAAAAGTAAAAGAGAAGAAGAAGCTGAAATCTTCCAGCTCGTCCGAAAAAGAGATGGCACAGCCCACAGGAGCTGCAGCTGCAGGCACTGTCACAGCTCCTCAGGAGCAGATGGACCCCATGGTTTGGGGGCTGTACCAGGAGAAACTTTACGTCCAAGTGAGTCTGGCCAAAGTTTGTACCTTCCCTTCTGCTTTCTGTTCTTTGCTTATAAACCGACCCTGGGCTGCAGCTGGAGAGCTGAAGCGTTCCGTTCAACTAAAGAACTGACAGCTGTGTGTCTGTAATTCTGTGGCAAGGTAAGTGTGACGTGAAGCCAGATGGCCTTGATTCCAGGCTGGAAGCCATTAACATAAAGCGGCCACCGCATCGCCACGCGCGGGATTTCTGTCTGGATGCCTTTTGCACACTTAGGGACTCTCGAGGGAGCAGCAGTGTTAATTGTATCTCAGACAATGTTAAACACACTTCATAGCCAGGAAAGCTATTAATGGAAGTAGGCAGCCGCTTCTCTGTGGCTGTGTCCGTGCCCATACACTGCTGCACTCCTGTGTTGGAAACCATCTCTGCTCTGTCCATCTGGTCATCAGGATTTCCTCACTCATCTTCACTGCATGCATCTTCTGTTAACTTCTGCTGCAGGTTTATGGGCTGCTGGATTCCATGGTGAGCAAGATGGTTTCTTTATTTGAAGAGCTAGAACAAAACACGGCGCTTTGAAGCGGGAGAGTGAAGCCTTTTGTAAGTAGAAATAGACTTAGTAAATAAGTGGCCATGCTTGCACAAGACAGGTGGATGTTGTTCTTTCTGAAGGGATGAAGCGGTCACAAATGCTGGAGTGCCTCTTTCCTGACATGCTGTGATGTGAGCCTGTCGTGAGATCATCTGTTGGTTCTGCAGGTGGTCAGGGAGCATTGTGTAGCCTCACAAACCATAGCATCAAGAAAATGCTGGTGTTCCTGCTGGGGAAGGCAAACTTAAAGATGCCAGTCAGCTGAAGACTTGTGTTATTCTCTGTGTTTCAATCTGTGCTGTCTAACAAGTGAGCAGAGGCTGTCCCATGCACTCGTGGGCCCAAGTACCAGGACTTAGGGAAGTCCCTCTTATTTCTGATCGTGTTCCTGGCTGCTCATCCAGTCTCCCTGCAGGTCTCCCTGACAGCAGGAGCTTTGGGCTGTCAGCATCTCTGTGAAAGTGCACATTTCCACCTCACCTTTCCTTGCATACGTGCCTGTTTCGTATGCTGATCTTGCTATCTCTTGCCATCCATTTAATGTATCCGTGCCCAATTCAGAGTTAATTCTTACTCCGAGACTCATTACTCTTGAATAGAAATGAGGAAATCTGTGCTCCAGCTACAGAGAGCAGGGCTGGCTCTGTGCTGGAGCCGCCCTTCGTGCCTCTGCCAGCCTACATGAGCCTGTCACCTCCTTCTGACCGGGCTGCCTCGTGCATCGCAGCTGGGCTGGAGCGTTCCCTGGAAGCACAGCGGGGCTGTGCAGGTTTCCGAGGCGGAGCTGCGGGTGTCCCATGGCCACGTGCCACTGCAGGGCCATCTTCCTGCTGGAGCAGCCGGACGGCATTCCCCAGGGAGGCTTTGGCTCCGTGAAGAAATGACATCAGTGCAGATCATTAATTTAGGTTCATGATACCTTTGAGGTTCTTAGACAGCAGATGCGTATCCATGCTAAGCATGACTGTTCCAGATTCTGCACATCGCTGTGCGGTTACTCCAGGCTTCTGTGCCTCGGGCACCTGCTGGTTTACTTGGAGAACCATGCTGCCATGTGTCTCAGAGCCTCACGTAGTGCAGAGCTCTTCCCTGTGCTGAGGTGCTTTTTGTTTCTCCTTGTAACTCGCATCTCGGGGGGATCTGCTGTTCTTCCCCTCTGTTCCTGGCAGCGCTGTGTTGAATGCAGCCCGGCTGTGCTGCGTGCAGCCCTTCGTATTCTGAGACCTTGCAGCGTCAGGAGAAGCACTTTGGCTTCTGTGGAAAGGAGGAACCCCTTCTGGCTTCGTGGGCACTGAACCACAGAGGGAATGTCTGTGCTCAGCATTACTGCAGTGAGGATTTCAGCAACAGTTTGAGAATGAGAGGGAAAAAGGCCTGAAGTTGGGGTGTGTCGCACAGGCTCTGACAATAGCTCCTGCCTTCCTGGAGATGCTTATCGGCCTGCAAGTGTGCCCAGCTCACACAGCTCCAGCCATCTGTTCTCAAGGCAGGAGAGAGACTGCACATAACAGGATGGCGTGGTCGCCTCACAGTGCTTGTGTTGGGTGGTCTCATCCCAAAAGATGGGAAAGCCCATCCCAAGGACCTGCAGCTCCAGTCCAGCCTGGAGAAACCAGGCTCACCTCCACCTCTGCTCCCCACAAAGCTTCTCAATAAACAGAGGGGAGTTTCCTTTGGATCCCATAGCAGGGCAGAACATCACGTGCCGTTCTCTCTTTCCCTTCCATGGGAGAAGCCAGGTGGCACAGGGCTGCTGCCCTGACATTTCTGCAAAGAAGAACAGACATGCAGTGAGTGGTGCTGGTGCACCAGGACTTTCCCAGAGCCGACACTCAGCAGGGCAGGGGAGGGCCGGGCAGAGGGCAGCATGCAGCAGCTCCCTTCTTGCCTTTTGCACTGCTTTGTGCAAGTTCTGCGCCTGGATATGGGGTGAAATCAGAGCCAGTTTCCAAAGGGCACTCTTAGAAACACGTACCCCTGTTTACAGCCTGCTGAGCCTCCTGTCTGCCTTTGGACAGAAGGGGTGGGCAGTCCCCTGCCGTGCCAGGCCCAGCACCGGGCTCAGCCCACACTGTTTGTGTCTGTTAATCATTGCTGCTGTTTGCTGCCTCGCTGAGGTGAGCGACCTTCCTGCCCTGTGAGCTGCCAACCGAAAACCATGCACGTGTGGGGCCAGGAGACACCGTAACTGTGAGAGGGGCTGGGAAAGGGTTCTGGGAAAGCACCTCCCCAGAGGCTGCAGCTGCAGAGCAGCCCGCCTGCCCAGGGCTCACCGCTGCCTACAGCCGGGCTGCAGCCCACCCAGCAAACCCTGCGCCGGCACAGCGCCTGCAGGGCCGCAAGCTGGGCCTGTCTGCTGGGACTGACTTGGGCAGGCTGACCTGGAGGAGGGTTTGGGTGCTGGGAGGGCTGTGATGCTCGCTGTGCGTTCAGCTCGTGCGGCCAAACCCCGTGGGAGGTTCAGCTGCCAGATGTGCGGTGCGTGGCTCTGCTTTCCTCCCTGCGTGACCCAAAGCAGCGGCCTCAGCCCAGAGCTGCATCTCCGCTGTGCGGCGCGAGGAAGGCAGACCTCCAGAATGCCTCAGCACCCAGGAAAGCTTTCTATTATGGAAAATGTCAGCGCTATTAAAAAGATTATATATATCCATAATGTTAGAAAGCCTGTCGCTGATTAAAATGGAAGGCAGAGGCCGGGGGAGCGGGGGTGGCACCGAAACGATCGAGAGACTTATTTTGTAATGTCATCCGATGCCTCCTCTGCCCCCAGCCGGGCTGCGGGAGCTGCTCGGGGCAGGGGAAGAATCTGCTCCAAATTTAGATCCGGGCAGACATTGCAATGAACTCGGATCGCCGCGGCAGCCTCGGGTACCAGCGAGGGAGCTGCATTGCTGGGCGGGGTGGGGGGAGGACGGGCAGCATCGTTCAGAGCACATCCGAGCGCGGGGATGGCTGATGGCTGATGGCTGCTTTCTGTCTAAAAATAATGGGAGGAAAAAAAAAAAAAAAAAAAAAAAAAAAAAAAAAAAGCTTGCAGCGAGCAGCGCCTGGCTGTCTGCCATGGGGGGCAGTGACGGAGCATTCCAGCATCCCCGCCTCCCGCATGCGGCGGGTTGGGGCTCGGCGCCGCATCCCCGCGGCCCGCAGCGCACCGGGGGGGCTGAGCGCGGCTGCCCGGGGCCGGGGGGGCCGTGCCGGGGCTCGGGCGGCCCCGAAGGGGTTAAGGCGCGCGGCCGGACCTGCCCAGCCAGCCCGGCGGGTCGGCGGAGCGCGGCGGACGGCGGGCGGGCAACGGCCGCCTCCAGCGCTTCCACCGGCACCGGGGAATCGGCGGCGGATCGGCGGGGCCGCTCTCCGCGTAGGTAAGCGGGAGGAGGGAGGGCGGACGGACGGAGGAAGGTTCTGGAGGCGGGAGCGCCGCGGGTTGCGGAGGGCCGGCGGTGCGGTGCCGCTGCTCCGGGCAGGGCCTGCGGCTGCCCGAGTCCCGCCGGCACCGGGGCGGCTGCGGTCCCCGAAGGGTTCCGGTGCTCGGGGCCGGGTCGCTCCTCGCCGCTCCCTCCATTTCGTGCGCCGCTCCTCCCAGCCCCGCACCTGATTAAAGATGAAGCGAGCCTTCCCTTCCTCCCTGCCATGTTCCCCGGCCTCCCCGGCTCGCTTCCCGCTCTGCCTTTTCCCCGTCCTCCCCTCGGTTCTCTCTTTCCCCTTTCCTGCGCGCTCCCGGCCGCGTTCCCCCACCTCCGCTTCACCTCCGCGGTCCCCGTGCCGGGACGCAGCGATGAGGACCCGTCCCGCCGCCCTTCTCCCACCGGGCAGCCCCGAGCTCAAGGTCACTGCAGTAATTCCATACGGCTGCCGCCTTATCTCCCGCACAGCTTCTATTTCACCGCCTTTATATTCTGGGGAACGCTGTGCCGGACAAAACCTTCTCTTCTCTGCAGCGCTTCAGCCCGGGCCACGCTCCTCCCCCCCATCCCAGCCCCTTCTCCATCTGTCCGCACGCAGCATTCCCAGGAAGGCCGCGCAGGTCCATCTGGACCGGCTTCCCGGCCCGGTCCCGTATCGCTGCGCTGGGGCCGTGCCCGGCTCTGGGAGCTGTTGGCGGCAGGAGGGACGTCCTGCCCCGCAGCACCGGGCTTCGCTGGGCCGGCGGCGCGGCTTTATCTGTTCCCGAGTGCTGGCAGCAGGCACGGTGCGGGTCAGAGTCCCGGAGGACTTTGCCGCACCGCCGCCCTCATCCCAAAGCATTCCCGTGCCAGGCGAGACGGATCCAAAGGCCGCGGCGCCGGCAGCACTGCGGAGGGGAATCGGGACAGGGAAGTGTCGGGTGAGAAACTTCAGCCGGCCGCGAGCGGCAGAGCCGGCTGCGTGACTCACGGGGACGGCCGAGCTGCGGTGCCGGAGGTGCCGGACCGGCTGCGAGGCTCGCGGGCTCTGCCCGTCGGCTCCGCGGTGTCGGCAGCCGGGAGAGCCGCGTGCCGGGGCTGCGGTGCGGGGAGGTGCTGGGAGCCGAGGCGGCTGTCGGCTGCCGGTCGCTGCTGTCTGTGCGCTGTGCTGCCGAGATAGGCCCGGGCCCGCCGGCTTATCGCAGAACTGCCGGTGAGTTCTGGTGCGGGAGCGTGCGGGGCTCCACCCGGTGCCAGCAGCCCCTGCCTGTCGGCTTTGCTGATCCCAGGGATCAGATGGGGATCGCGGTGCTTTCCCAGCTGGCGGCTGAGGGGTCAGGGAACAGAGCTGTAATGGGGTCATGAGGAACAGGCGCAGTGCAGCCGTGTGGTTTTGCAACCTCCCTGCGTGGCCCATGAAGGACGGGCACTTACAGGCAGGAAGGGATCGGGGCAGCTCCTGGTACTGGCATGGCAGGGCTGCACGGTGACAGCCTGCAGGACAGGCTGCCTTTGGGGGCCCTGCTGATAGTGATACTGGTGTGGGTCGCCAGGAGCATTGCCACCACATTGCAGCAGCAGCCTCCCCAGTGCACGGGAGGCTCAGGCACAATCTGGGGCTTTGAGAAGGCTTTGTGTTACCTGCTGATTGCTGGAGAATAGCGCTCTGACTCAGTGACCCCGTGGTTCCTCCCCAGGAGTAAAATATCCATGTTTGCTGGGAGAAATGACCCGAATAGCTGCAGGTGCCAGTAGGTCAGGGCAGATTCGGAGTCACACTGGGACTGGTCTTTGTGTGGTGCATTCTGGTGGCACTGGGAGTCTGGAAGCCACAGCGGGGCTGCAGGCAGCGTGCTGGGGGCTGGTGGGGCTGAGGCCTGGAGGCAGCTAGGGGCTGGAGGAGGGAGCTGCCATTTTCAGGTGGGTGCTTCTCACAGCAGAAGCGCCTGGTAAAAGCTCATCCAAATGTTGCTGAATCTGAAGCCAAATCTCTTGGCAGCTCTGCATTGCTAGCTATTGGTTTTCTGTACGATTCTTTCCCATCCAGCATCCCGCCTGCTTCTGGTGAGTGAGAGCAGCTCACACCATGGCAATGGGCAGTTCCACCTTGAGAAGTGCCCGAGGTGCTACGGGATGGGGCTCTGGTGCCTGGGGTGGTGCTGAGCTGTCTCCATTCCTCACTGCAGGCACTGGTGAGGCTGTGAGCACCCGTTCCATCCCTGCTGCGCGCGCCCGCTGTCAGCGGGTCCTGGGCACCACGCAAAGATGACCACCTCGGCCCTGCGCCGGCAGGTGAAGAACATCGTGCATAACTATTCAGAGGCGGAGATCAAGGTGCGAGAGGCCACCTCCAATGACCCCTGGGGACCCCCCAGCTCCCTGATGTCGGAGATCGCGGACCTCACCTTCAACACGGTGGCCTTTGCCGAGGTCATGGGGATGATCTGGCGACGGCTGAACGACAGCGGCAAGAACTGGAGGCACGTGTACAAAGCCCTCACCCTGCTGGACTACCTCATCAAAACCGGCTCCGAGAAGGTGACCCACCAGTGCCGGGAGAACCTTTACACCATCCAGACGCTGAAGGACTTCCAGTACGTGGATCGTGACGGCAAGGACCAGGGCATCAACATCCGGGAGAAGGTGAAGCAGGTGATGGCGCTGCTGAAGGACGAGGAGCGGCTGAAGCAGGAGCGGGCGCACGCGCTGCAGACGAAGGAGCGCATGGCCCTGGAGGGGATGGGCAGCGGCAGCCATCAGTCCACCTACGGCCGCCGCGCATCGCCCTACGGGGACGACTATGGCCGGACGCGGGGCTCACCCTCCTCCTTCAACTGTGAGTCCTGCCCCGGGGGCCGGTGGGGAGGACGCTGTGCCGGGTGCGCTCCCTCTTTCTGGGAGGCGATGCTCAGCTGCCCTGAACCCGTGGCTCATTTGAGGTTGTAAGCATTTATGCGGGGTACGTCCCCTTGGGAGACAAGACACTCTGGAGCTGCAGATGTGGATGGGATTGGGAGGAGGCTGACAGGTGGCTGATCTCCCCAGAGTCCCAGCACCACTTCTTCACCTGTTCTTCTTTTCTCTCCTAGCATCTTCCTCATCCCCACGGTTCGCCTCTGACCTGGAGCAAGCACGTCCCCAGACAACGGGTGAGGAGGAGCTGCAGCTGCAGCTCGCCCTGGCAATGAGTCGGGAGGAGGCTGAGAAGGTAGGGCGGTGCGGCGGGGCTGCCCTGTACCCAGGGCTTTGGCCATTATGGAGAAGGGGTGGCTTGGGGCTGCCCGACGCCTGTGCACTGACCCGCAACTGCATCGGGCTGCTCGCGCTGTGCCCGCCTCCCAGTCACAGCAGCGTGGAGGCAGCACCATGGATGAGACACAGGCACGTGCGCTTCTCCTGGACCCTGGGATGGCGGGGGGGCCCTTCTTCATTCACCAAACCTGGCTGACTTCCACCGAGGGCTTCTGGTCCTGACACTCATTTCTGTCACTTTTGTCAGAGGCCATTTGTGCAGAGGATGATCTGCCTCTGCCCGTGGCTGCTCCTTTCGAGCAGGAGGAGCTGTGCAGGGATGTGGGCAGCCAACAAGCTGTGGCCTCAACTGCAGTGCCTCCTCCAGGCCCGTCCCCTCTCCTATCTGCTCCACGGCCCCGTTTCCTTGGGGACAGATTATTTGCACGCCGGCTGAGATTGTCGCTGGCTGGCACGGTGTGTGTGGAGCACACAGGGACGGCCAGGCACAAAAGGACGCGGTTGCCAGCGGGTGTCCCCACACGTGGGCAGTGTCCTTGGGCAGACAGCACCGTGTCCTCAGACCTGCCGGACTAGGAGACATACTTCTGGCACAGCACTTAGCACTGCCCGCTTCCCCTGCCTGGTGGAGACTGAACAGCATGTGTGTATCCCTATTTCTGTCCTGGAAATGCAGTATTTATAGCTTCCACATTCTGCCGTGACGAGTGCTGTAGGAACATGCTCTTGAAAGCACTGCCTGTTGGAGACCACCTGGGCTGTGCACATTCCTGCACGCGTGTACAGCCGTGCACACACACACAGACACTCCGCATCAGGGCTGCCACGGTGGTACGGGGATGAACCCCCCCAAGAGCTTGGCTGTGAGCTTCTGTATGGGGCAGACCCTGAGCCCGGGCCGTTTGGGGCTCCCAGTGCTGGGCTCAGCGGCGAGGGGCCGCAGGGTGCTGGCGGTGAGGATGGCGACCACCGAGCCGCTCGGCAGACTGAGGTCCAGCTGAAATTTCACCCGATTTCCTCTGTTGGCAGAAGCCACTTCCTCCAATTTCCAGTACAGATGAAGAAAGGCAATTGCAGCTAGCGCTCGCGCTGAGCAAAGAGGAGCATGAGAAGGTACCCGTGCCCTGCAGCCCCGGGCGCTCCGTCTCTCGCACTTGGGCTTCTCTCTGCCTCGCGCAGCAGCCCCGCTGCTGGCAGCACTCGCGCTCGCTTTGCTTTCCCTGCCGTGGGGCCGCTCGCTGTGCACTCTCCTGGCGCTCAGCCTGGTGGAGCCCTCTGCTCAGACGCTGGGACTTTTGGGGGATGCGGTGGCAGCTCCTGCGCTGGGTCTGTTTCCTGGAGAAGGCTCTTGCTGCGGGACTGCTGGGGCTCACGGCCCCGTTCCTTGTTCCCTCCCGCAGGAGGTGAGGGCATGGCAAGGGGAGAACTCCCTGCTGCAGAGAGCCTTGGAGGAGACTGCCCAAGGTGGGGAGGAAGAGCAGGAAGAGGATAAGATGAAGAAAAGCCAGGTGAAGCACCAGAGGCTGCACATGCAGCCTCTTAAGTGATGCTGTGGCCCTGGGCTGGGCTCTCAGGTCAGCCCTGGGCTCCCCTCACTTCTTTATTCCCTTTCTGTTTGCAGTCCTCTATCCTGGAGCTGGCAGATATATTCGGGCCGGCACCAGCTCCTTCCAGCCACACGTCTGCTGACCCATGGGACATGCCAGGTGGGGGCTGCTGAAGCTTGGGGCGGCAGCACACTCCTCTCCCCTCCTCTGTCCCTGTGCAATTCCAAATGTTCCACAATGACCTTTGGCTTCTCCTCCCTCCCCTGCCCTGTCCTTTGTACATCTGGGTGGCAGTGCTGATGGGAATCCACAGTCCCTGAGTGCATCCCTGATATGCGGCATTCTCTTATCTTTGGTTTCCCTTTTCAGATATGAAACCCAAAGCGGAGCCAGCAGCCTGGACTGGCACAGCAGACCCCTGGGTGCCAGTGCTATCCAGCAGTGGGGAGCCCATGCCCCAGGCAGGCACTACATCCCAGCAAACAGCTGCTGGGCCCTGGGATTTCCCCCCTGCCTCTGCTGACCCATGGGGGAAGGCAGCCGCCTCGTCTGGCTTCACCCCTGCAGACCCTTGGACAGCCACGTCCCCACCGGCCCAGGGCTCCGGCACTACGCCAGCCACTGACCCCTGGGCTGCTGTGGCTGAGCCTAACCCTAACCCTGGTAAGCAGCTTGGGTGGTGATGGGGTTTTGCTAGGGACCATGCATTGTGCTGGCTGTCCCTGACAGCTCGGGTGCCCGCCCTTCTCCTGTAGCCAGCTCTGCCATCCTGCAGGACCTCCTTGGTGTGCTGAAGACTTCAGGGAACCTTTTGTTCTAGTGCAAGCTAGTCAGGCTGTTGAAATTACTGTGGCAGCTAATGAAGCCCTCCCACAGTGGGCTGATGTTCCCCTGTTGATACCTACTGGCTTGGCCCCTCTTAAAACAGCCCGCGACAGGACGGTTGGTGTCTGCAGGTGCGGTGCTGCAGATGGGGGCTGTTTATAGGAGAAATCTGTGTTTCTGAGCTTGGTGCTGCTCTCACTTCCTCCTCGGCTGCTTCCTCCCACCTTGTGGCAGTCCTGTGTCCACTGCCCACAACACATGGGGAGTTGCCCAGACTTTTGGTCCCAAGAGGCAAGAGCATAACCAGAGCTGGATGTAAGCGCTGGTCTTCAAACCATCACCTCGTGCTTTTTTCCTCCTGACTGTGCTGCCTGGGGGTGTTTTCCACTCAAGGCCAGGCTCCCGTTCTGGCCCATTCTGGTCTCTGGGCTGGTGCGTGCACTGACTGCAGCCCCACACGCCTCCCAGCCTTTGCTCCCCTCCTTGAGTCTCACCTCTTCCCCCCAGCTTCAGGGGGGGATGCTTTCGACCTGTTTGCAAAGCAACCCGAGGCAGCTGAGCAGCCGGAGATGGAGCATTCGCAGCCGCCCTCCTCGGTGAAGTCCAGCAGCCCCGCCGGTAAGCGGAGACACGGGGCGGCGTGGGCAGGGGGTGACGTTCCTCCATCCCCGTCCCTGCTTCCACAGCCAGCCTGGAGCTGCTCCCACATTTGTGCATGGCTCCTTGCGGTGTGGCCAAAGCCTGTCCCGTGTGCACCCCGCAGTCGGGGGGGTGTCGGGGTTGCCTGCGGTCGGCGCCCAGGCAGCCCACTGACAGCCCTCTCCCCCGCCGCAGAGCTGGACCCTTTTGGCGACCTGTTCCCCGGCACCAAGCAGGACCCGGCCAAGAGCTTTGACCTCGCGAACCTGGCCGACTCGCTGCCCGAATCCTGCAAGGAGCGGAAGGACTGTAAAACCCCCGAGGCTTTCCTCGGCCCCGCCGCCTCCTCGCTGGTCAACCTGGACTCGCTGGTGGCACCGCCGCAGGCCGCCAAGACCCGCAACCCCTTCCTGTCGGGTGGGTGCCGGGCTGAGCCGCGGGGCGGGATTGGGGCGCGATTGGGGCGGGATCGGGGCGCGGCGGCCGCCTGACGCCCCCCGTATCTTCCCGCAGGTCTCAGCACGCCGTCCCCCACCAACCCCTTCAGCCTGGCCGAGCAGCCCAAGCCCACGCTCAACCAGATGCGGACCGGCTCCCCGGTGCCCGGCCTGCCCGCCGCCCTGCCCGCCAACGCCATGACCTACAGCGCGTCTCTGCCGCTGCCGCTCAGCAGCGTCCCCGCCGCCCTGCCCGCCTCCGCCAGTGCCTTCCCGCAGGCGGGGGCCGGGCCGTTCCCCGAGCTGCCCGGCGCTTTGCCGCAGCCTCTGCTGCCGCTGAGCGGCCCCCCGGCCCCCCAGGGAGGGCTCAACCCCTTCCTCTGAGGGCTGCGGGCCGGCACCGCGGGCGGGCTCTCGCTCCTTCCCGGCCGTTCCCCCGCCGCTCCCACCGCCGGGGACGGCAAGCAGCGCGAGCCGCCCGCAGGAACCGCGCCCGGAGCATCAGTGGGCTCCGGGACTGTCCGCTCTGCGCGCAGCGCCTCGGTGCGCGGCCGGGAACGGCTCGGCGGGGCGGGGGGAGGCCCTGGGGCGGACGGACGGTGCCTCCTCTTCGCTCTTCTGCCCTGGAAACGCCCCGTTCCTCTTAACGTGCTGCCCTCTCCGCGCGGCTCTCGGCCGGTTCGCGCTCTCCCCGCTCTGGATGTTACTCCGCTTGGGCACCGTGTCCCCGCTCTCCAGCCCGGGTCAGCCCCGGCTGCGAGCCCTTCGCAGTCCTCCGTGCCCCCGGATCCCGCGCAGAGCCCGGGCCGGGCGCTCCGCCCTACGGGGAGCACCGGAAGCAGCGCTCGGTACCGCGGGCAGCGCTGCTCGGGGGGGCGGGCGTTGCGTCGTGCTTCAGCGCGTGCCGCCGGCAGCGCTGCTCCACGCGGGGTGACTCCGCGTCCGGAACCGCCGCGGCCGCCCCGGCATTCGGGAACCGTGAGCTGACCGCCGCAATAAAATACCGGAACGGACACCGCTTGCCGCCTTCTTACCGCTCTCTCCGCCCCGCGCGGGGCGGGCTCGGCTCGGCTCGGGGGCGGCCCCAGGAAGGCAGTTTGGTGCCCGGCTCCGCCCCTCCCCCGTCGCCATGTTCGCGGTGCCGCTGCGCAGGGCCCGCAGGTATGGGGGAGAGCCGGGAGACGGAGCTGGGAGCGGCCGAGCGGGGGGAGCGCTGCGGCACAGCGTGCATTGCCGGCCCCGCGCCCTGCAGCGCCCTGCAGCGCCCTGCCTGCCGCTCCGTGCCGCTCCGTGCCGCTCCGTGCGCCCCTTCTGCTTGCCGGAGTGCTACCCGCTTCCAGTGCACTGCTCTGGATACTCCCTGCCCCGCTTCCGCATCCCCTGAATCCTCCCCGTGCCCTCTCCGTATTCTCTGCGTTCTCTTGAACCCCCTCCCAGACCTCTGCATCCTTTCTGCGTGCCCCGAAGAGCTCCCTGCGCCTCTTCTTATCCTTCCTGCTATCTCCTGCGTCGTCCCTTTTTTCCGTGTGCCTCCTTCTTTGTTCCCCTGAATCCTTTCTGTGCCCTCTGCATGCCTGTAAATCCTGCGTCCTCCCTTGCATTCCCTTAAATCCTGCTTGTATCTCCTCCTGCCTTCCTCCCCCCTGCATTTTCCCCTTGCACTCCCTTTGCATCTCTCCTATATCCTCTGTTTTGTGACTGTGTTCCCACCACGTGCCCTTCCTGCACCCCTTGCTGCTACCTCCATACTTGTGCACCCCTCCCTCTGTCCCCAGCACCAGGAGGATCCCCTTGTCCCCCTCCCAATGCTGGGGCAGAGCCCAGGAGGGGTTTCACTGGTTCGCCGAGGGCTCTGGCTGTGCAGCGTGCCGGGGACACAGCACCCCGCATCGGGCTCTCCCCGTGGGCAACAAAGTGAATTAACGAGTGAATGAACGAACTAATGAGCGCATCCCGTGCTGCAGGCCGGTGTTCCTAGCGGGCAGCATGGCCATGGCCACGGCCGGGAGGAGCAGCCCGGCCCGCCCCACCAACCGGCTCATCTACGAGAAGTCCCCGTACCTGCAGCAGCACGCCCGCAACCCTGTGGACTGGTGAGAGCGCACCGAGCCCTTCCTCCTCATCCTCCCCTAGCAGGGCTGGCACCAGGAGGCTGCTGCCTGATGTGCAGCTCCAGAGTGGGCCCTGATGGCAGCTGTGCCCCACGGGCTGCTCCTCATCCTCTGCAGGTACCCTTGGGGTCAGGAAGCCTTTGATAAAGCGAAGCAGGAGAACAAGCTGATCTTCCTGTCAGGTAACTGGCAGCCAGGTGTACCTTTATGTGTCCCAGTCGTAAATGAGCTGCGGGGTGAGGCTGCCCGGCGCTCATTCCTTACCACTGAGAGCCGTAACAGCTCTGTTGGAAGGCGGGCTGCATTCAGGGGCCATCGTGGCCATCGAGGCCCTTGTCCTGGGAGAGCTGAGGAGTGCAGAGCAGCAGGTGAGCCAGAGGGATGCCTCTGTGCTGCTCCTCCACTCCGTATGGCACAGAGCTGTGCTGGGGCGTGGGGCTGGGAAAGGCTGTGCCCCAGAGAGCGGTGGGCACAGCAGGGGCTGTGGGAGGGCTGGGGCTCCGCTGTCAGACAGCGGGGTGGAGGTGGGGCGGTGCAGTGTGGTGTCCCTGTGCACCCATCCCGGCTGCTCCGTGGCTCTGTGGCCTCACCCTGCGTGCTGCGCTCGCTTTCAGTCGGGTACTCCACCTGCCACTGGTGCCATGTGATGGAGGAGGAGTCCTTCAAGAACGAGGAGATCGGTGAGATCATGAGCAAGAACTTTGTGTGCATCAAGGTGGACCGTGAGGAGCGGCCGGACGTGGACAAAGTGTACATGACCTTCGTGCAGGTGGGGGAGCGCGGCAGGGCTGGGGCACGCTCTGCCCTTCTTTCTCGAGGCTCCTTTCTGTGTTCCCGAGGAGCCCCCCATGAGATCCTTCTGCCCCATGTCCCCCAGGCCACCAGTGGCGGCGGGGGGTGGCCGATGAGCGTCTGGCTGACTCCGGACCTCAAGCCCTTTGTTGGGGGCACGTATTTCCCCCCTGAGGACAGCGCTCATCATGTGGGCTTCCGGACTGTGCTGCTCCGCATCGCAGAGCAGGTAAGCGGGCAGCTGGGGGCGGTGCTCAGAATTGGGGTGGTGTTGATGGGGAGCAGCCACGGGAAGCAGAGGCTGAAGGAGGGTGGGTGGGATGGGGGTGAGGGTGGGGATGGAGTGGGGGTGGGGATGGGGATGCGCTGCGCAGGGGGAGGGCACTGAGAAATGCAGACAAAGGTTGGGTTGGGAGGCAGAAAAAAGGCAAGAAGAGGAAGCACTGATTTTCTCACCGCCGCTCAGTGGAGGCAGAACCAGGAGGCCCTGCTGCAGAGCAGCCAGAGGATCCTGGAAGCGCTGCACTCCCTGTCCCGGGTCGGCACACAGCAGGCAGCCCCCCCGGCCCTGGAGGTGCTGACCACCTGCTTCCAGCAGCTCTCCGGCTCCTACGATGAGGAGTATGGCGGCTTCTCACAGAGCCCCAAGTTCCCCACACCAGGTCAGTGTGGTCCCTGTGGCTGAGCCTGGCCAGTGCACAGAGCTCACTCTGCAGCCTGTCCCTGTCTTTCAGTGAATTTGAATTTCCTCTTCACCTACTGGGCTCTGCACAGAACAACCCCAGAAGGGGCCCGTGCCCTGCAGATGTCTCTGCACACTCTCAAGATGATGGCACATGGGGGCATTCACGATCACATTGGTCAGGTAGGAGGAGTGCCCTGGAGTTAAACTGCAGCAATGTGCAGGTGGAGCACGATGGTGACACCTGTGTGTTCCTCACAGGGCTTCCATCGCTACTCTACTGACCAACACTGGCACGTCCCACACTTTGAGAAGATGCTGTATGACCAGGGGCAGCTGGCAGTTGTGTACAGCAGAGCCTTCCAGGTGTGGCTGTGGGCTCCTGCAGGGCTTGGGCTGCCCATCAGTGGGCACAGAGCACTCCCCTATTCCCCATCTGTAGCGTTTGTTGTGCAGGCAGGAGTGCTGTACAGGTCTGTGATATTAGCCCGTGAGGCTCTAAATGTGCCTCGTGTTTAAAATCCTTGCCCAGCACTTCTCCCCCTTGTAGCTCTTTCCGTGTCCCGTTACTTCTTGCTGTGTCTCCTTCCCCCCTGCCCGTTGTAACACAGCAGTGATCACCGCCTCGCCTCCCCTGCAGATCTCTGGTGATGAGTTCTTTGCCGACGTTGCTGCCGACATCCTGCTGTACGCCTCGCGGGACCTGGGCAGCCAGGTGTGTTCCCCAGGTCACTTACTTACCCTGCCTGGGATGCAGTGCTGTGCTGCAGGGCTGTGCCCACAGCCGCACATCTCTGCTGTTTCCTCCCCAGACCGGAGGCTTTTACAGTGCAGAGGATGCAGATTCCTACCCGACGGCCGCCTCCAGCAAGAAGCAGGAAGGAGCTTTTTGTGTGTGGGCAGCCGAGGAGGTCCGGGCTCTGCTCCCTGACACGGTGGAGGGGGCTGCAGAGGGCATAACCCTGGGAGATGTCTTCATGCACCACTATGGGGTGAAGGAGGACGGCAACGTGAGCCCCAGGAAGGTGAGGGGTCGTGCAGACCTCACCGGGAGCATTGCTGCACCCGAGGCACGTGGGTCCAAGCCGTGTTCCTAGAGCAGAGCTCTCCTTGCAGGACCCCCATAAGGAGCTGCAGGGCAAGAATGTCCTCATTGTCCGTTCCTCCCCGGAGCTGACAGCCGCGCGCTTTGGGCTGCAGCCGGGGCAGCTGAGTGCTGTGCTGCAGGAGGGCAGGCACAGGCTGCAGGCAGCCCGGGCACAGCGCCCACGGCCCCACCTGGACACCAAGATGCTGGCCTCGTGGAACGGTGCGTGGATCTACAGCCGTCTGTGTGGCTGCTGCTGGTGTGAGATAGTGCTGTGTTGGGCTTTTTTATTTTCTTCTTGCCAGCAGAGAGCAGCAAAACTCTTCCCTGGCACAGCCTGCTTGGCAGGACTGGGAGGGATGGGGCTGAGGTCTGTGCTCACCACATATCAGCAGGGTGAGAATGGGGTGCTGTTCCTGTCCCTGTGGGACGTGCCTGCAGCCTGAGCTGGAAGTACAGCGCAGAGCCAAGTCTCACAGCCTGTGCCCACAGGCAAAGGCTGAGATCTTGCTGTGGTTTCAGTGCTCTGCCTTTCTCTGGATGGTAGTTCAGTGAGGGACTTTCTGGGAGGCTGGAAGAGAGCAGAGGAGATGATGGCCTGCAGTTACAATGTCAGGGAGCATGAGCTTTGTGTGAAGCATCCTGTGGAGGAAAATGTGTGACACCCAGCCATTCCCTTGTGCCTGAGCTTTCCCTGTGCCCACGCAGGACTGATGATCTCAGGTTTTGCCCAGGCTGGAGCAGTGCTGGCCAAGCAGGAGTACGTGAGCCGGGCAGCGCAGGCGGCTGGCTTTGTGCGCAGGCACCTCGTGGAGCCAGGCAGCGGCAGGCTGCTGCGGAGCTGCTACCGTGGCGAGGCCGATGTGGTGGAGCAGAGGTGAGTGGTGGTGCAAGAAGTGTCACTCAGCCCAAATCCTTTCCATTTCTTGTCTTTGGAGCTGGTAGGAGCCTTTCTGTTCTGCTGCTGACCTGCACTACCCTCATATGGTGCCTTGGCACAGCCACTGCTGAGCTCGGGCTGAGCTCGGGAGGCAGCCAAGCAAGGCGGTGTCTCCTTGGTCACAGACAGCAGTGCAGAGAGTTTCCCCCAGCCTGCCCTGCTGGGCAGCAGACACTGGTGTCTTTCCCCCCTGCTGTTGCAGTGCTGCTCCCATTCATGGATTCCTGGAGGATTACGTCTTCATCATTCAGGGTCTCTTTGACCTCTATGAAGCTTCGCTGGACCAGAGCTGGCTGGAGTGGGCCCTGCAGCTCCAGCACACACAAGACAAGCTCTTCTGGGACCCCAAAGGCTTTGCGTACTTCTCCAGTGAGGCTGGTGACCCCTCATTGCTGCTGCGCCTGAAGGACGGTGTGTGGGGACCCTGGGCAGGTCAGGGGTGGTGCTGGCACTGGGCTGGTTGTGACACCTTGTCCCCTGCAGACCAGGATGGAGCAGAGCCCGCTGCCAACTCCGTCACTGTCACAAACCTGCTCCGAGCAGCCTCGTACTCTGGCCACATGGAGTGGGTGGAAAAAGCTGGGCAGATCCTGGCTGCCTTCTCTGAGAGGCTGCAGAAGATCCCACTGGCCCTGCCAGAGATGGCCCGGGCCACTGCCATGTTCCATCACACCCTCAAACAGGTATGAGCTGGTGTGCCCTCCTCCTTTCTGGGTGCAGGAGTGGGAACACGGAACTTCAGCCCTCTGTATCTGTGCTGCATCTGGACAGGTGGTGATCTGTGGGGACCCCCAAGGAGAAGACACCAAAGAGATGCTTCGCTGCGTGCACTCCACCTTCATCCCCAACAAGGTACAGCAGTCAGCCTGTCCCTGTTCTGTCCTCACGGCTGCAGCCACACTCCCTGCAGCTGTTGCAATCCCGTTGTATTCCCAGCGTGGCCGTAGCATCCCCTGGCCAAGGCACCAGTGTCCCTCTGTAACCCAGCTAGGGTGAGCTGGGACAGACTGAGCAGAAGCTCCCTTGCCTGTCTCTGTGTCAGCTGCCCATGGAGGCTGTGTTCTGTGAGTGCCTGGCAGCAGTCAGTGATGGTGTCAGAGAGACAGGAGCCCTCTCCGTGGGGATGCAACAGTCAGTCCTCCCCACACCGTCCCTGCAGTGCCTCGCTCCCTGTGCTGCGTCTGAGCCCCCTCTGCTCTGCCTTGATTCCTCTTGCTTCCTTGGAAGGGTTACAGTGGGTGACCCAGTTTGCAGGCTTGGAAAGCACCGTGCTGCTGGGAGCTCCCCTCTACCTTCCCCACAGCCACTCCGGGTGCCCCAGTGTGCCCTGGGAGGGGGCACAGCCGATGGCTCCAGGAGCACAGCAGGGTGTTTGTTTGGGAGGCTGAGGCTGGGCATAGGCAGGGGATGTACTGTGGGATGCAGAGCTGGAACAAGCTGGGCACCGAGTGGGATGGGGTTTGCAGCAAGTAGGAGTTTCCTTCTTGCTCGGGAACGTGTCAGGGAGCTCCCTGCCAGGTGTGGTCCCATAAGGCGCGTGTCTGCTTCTCCATGCACGTCCTATGGGAGCTGTAGGACCTGAGCTCGCCCTGCAGTTCCTGCAGCACGTGGTGCTGAGCCTGTCTCCAGCAGATGGGATGTTGCAGCCCCGCACCCATTGTGCTGACAGCTGCTGCTCCCCGCTGTCAGCACGGCCGGGCCCAGCGGTCTGCGCTGTTCAGTGTCAGCAGGGCGTGATGGAGGGTGACAGCGAGACAGCGCCGCAGAGCTGGGCATCCCCAGGCCGTTGCACTGGGACTCACACAGTGCCACGCTCGTACCCACAGCTGGTTTGTGTTCTGCAGCTGCCCCCCGTACAGATCTGTGCGCTGGGAGATGAGACCCGAGTCTGACACCGAGGTTGGCGTGGGCTGTGTTCAGTGCCTCCTGCACCCGCCCCTGCTGGCTGTGCAGGGCACAAGGTGCAGCCCCTGCATTTCCTACCCCATCCCTCGGCCTCTCCCTCCCTCCCACCCCAGCAGCAGCCCCAGTGCTGCAGCCCTCAGTCACAGCCTCAGGGATGCAGCTGCTCTGGGAATCGGGGCTGGAGGAGACGTCAGCATCGCCCCCGCTCCCCGGTGCTGGCAGGGCGCTGGAGGCCAGCCCAGGCTGCGGGAACGCAATTAATTAGGTCGCTCCAGTAATTAATTCCTTCCAAACCTCACATTGAAATCCTCGCTGTAATGATAAAGCAGCATTGAGGGCGCCGGCAGATTGAGATGGGCTGGCGGGCGGAGGAGCGCTGTGCTGGGACGTGGTGCTGCTGTGCTGGGCACCGCCTGCTTTCCCTGTGCTGCTCCCAGGGCATCAGTGTGACCAGATGCAGCCACCCCCATCGCTGCCATCTCCCTGCCTGTGTTCGCCCTGGGGCCGGCGGGCCGGATCACGATCCTGGTTGAGATCCCGGCCCTATTAATGGTCTTCAGGGTAATTGTGGAGGATCCCATTATCTCCTCAGCTGCAGCATGCGAGCTCCCCGGCTCGCCTTTATCCTGGCCCCGCAAGAGGACCTTAGGGAGCATGTGAGAAAAATGAATAATGAATTTCAGATTGGACATGAATTGGTAATTAATCACTCCTGGAATTAATTCCAGACAAAGGCAGAGAGGGAGGAGGGCAGGGGGAGCAGGCTGAGGGCCAGGCAGGGGCTGAGCAAGGTGGGCTGCATGTGCTCCCAGCCTTCCCTGTCAGCCCACAAGGCCTGAGGCTTGAACAAATGTTTTGCTTTCCAAAGAAGCTCATTATCCCAGCGGTTCTGTCCTTATCCTCCCGGTGCTGCTGAGAGCCCCCGGCCCATTGCTGTGCCATGCCTGGGGGAGCTGCGGGAGCAGGGCAGTCATTGCAGGGGGTGACGCCGTGCTGCTCCAGCCCCCCTTCCTTCCTCCGCAGGTGCTGATGCTCGCAGATGGAGACCGTGCCGGATTCCTCTACCGCCAGCTGCCATTCCTTTCTTCCCTGGAGAGGAAGGAGGGCAAAGCCACTGCTTATGTCTGCAGCAACTTCACCTGCTCCCTGCCCGTCACCTCACCTCGTGCACTGCAGGAGCTGCTCCGCGCCTGAGCCCCGGTGTCCCACCAGGAGGGATGGGGGGCTGGTGCTGACCTCGGAGCTCAGCATGAGTCCCGGCACCCTGAACCCCCGTGGTGCCATGGGGGGCTGCGTGGCCCTGCTGGTGCCCCCCCTGCACCTGTGCTCATCAATTGGCTCTTCTTGCAGAGGGAAGAGAAAGCAAACACAAATCCCAGTGTTAACACAGCAGTCGGATGCAAGAACTATTTAAGGTTCCTATAGCAACCCAGGATAACTGCTGAACGCTCCTGGGTGAGATCAGGGTGAAATGCCTCTGGAAGTGTTCCTGTGGATGGCCGTGGTACTTTTCCATGGCAGGGCAGTCTGTGATGTCCATCAGTTACATTGGGGCGTGCAGAGCCTGCTGCTCCCATTGCTGCACGAGACCAAACCTGAGCGCTTCCAACACGACTCTGCGCTTTGCCAAGGACGGAGGCATGGCACGGCCTGCACAGGGAGCTCCCAAAGGCTGCTTCTCAACGTGTGACGCTGTGTCCCACCCAACCCGATGCCCACTGGGTGCTGCCATCCCAGCACAGCGCTGCCGTGGGGCGATGGCAGATGGCAGCTGTGCTTTCAGGACGTTCCAAGGGGCCTTGCCAGGGCCTGAGTACCGGGCCAGGAGAAATGCCTTTGAAGTCGAAGAGGAATTTTGCACCTCATCTTGTGAATACTTTCTGTGCTTGTGAAAGAAGAGAGTTTGTTTTGTTTTGTTTTGGTTTTTTTACACTGAAGTGTTTCTGGAAGCCCAGCTGCAAACTGCTGCCTTTGGCAGATGCTTTTCATTTCTTTGCTTTTCAAGTTGCTGTTGTTTTCTAACTGGACACCTTTGCTGCAGGGATTGATGTGACTCCTGAAGTGATGCTCCACATCCCCACAGTGCTTGGAGCAGATCGGTGCATCCACCCCACACCGACACTTTGGGGACCTGGAGGTGGCCATGCCCATGGTGAACAGTTGTCCCCAAAGAGCAGAGGTGTGGGGTGCTTTGCCATCCCGTGCCATGGGCAGCAGGTGCCTTTCCCTACTCCCTGCTGCATGTCGGCACGTTTTCCTCTGCAGCCACTGGGCAGAGCTGTGCTGGGAGCTGTGAGGACAAACTGGGCTGAGCAGCCAAAAAAAAAAAAAAAAAAAGAGAAGAAAAGAAAAGGAGGAAAAGCTTTCTGTGACAAATAAACTCTGCTGTGGCATTTGTGATGCTGTACTTTGTGCGTGGGCAGACATGGGGTTCACCCTGGGGCTGCACGGCACCCGTATGACTGCACGGCACAGCAGTGCATCCCATTTGCTCCATGGGGAGCGATGCAGCCCACCACGGCCCCACGGGGTGCCCACAGATGCAGCACCTCTGTTCCTTGTGGCGTGCTTTCCTGTCCCCCTCCTGCACCCTTGGGGCTGCGGTTCTGTTTTAATGAGGCTTTCCCTCTAATTAACATTCTCTGCCTTTGCCATCCCTTTTTATCCTAGTGTTGATGTGACATCAATGCAGAGGGGCTGCGGAGGCTGTTTGCCATCGGGGATGGCGTGGCTGTGGGGGGGGGGCAGCAGGACCCCCACCCCCTTCTGGGGCTCCGTGCTGTGTGCTGCTCCATGTGTGGGTGGGCAATTAGGCAACACCTGAGCACCCAACTGCCGGTGTCTGAGCAGGCAATGAGCATCAGCGTGAGCTGGGTGTGGAAGGGCAGGTTGGGGGGCTGTAGGGGTGCTGCTGTGGAGCAGGTTTGCCCTTTGCCTGTTCCAAGAGGTCCTGGGGGCCATCGCCCCATGTGGCACTGAGTGGTCCTGAGCAGGTGCTGTGGCTGTGGAGTGGTGCTTTCCCTGCTGGTGAAGAGGAGCGTGTGCTCAGAGCAGGATTAGGCAGTGGTAGGCGGCCGTGACACGGCTATTAATCCTCTAATATGGTTTTGGTATTTACTGACCATGGTAACTATTGCATTAAATCTAAATTAAATGTGTGTTTTGGAGGCTTTACAGAAGGCGGGGGAGGATGTTTGCAGATGCCTGCACTGGGGAGGAGGGCTCTGCCTCCATGGAGCCGGGATGGGCCGGGGGCTCTGGGGTGCACAGAGGAAGGGCAGCAGAAGCTGGGGGCTGCTGGGTGGACCTGGGTGTGGGACCCGTTTGTGGCTGTAGGTGGCTGTCCCCACATCTCCTTCCTGTCCCCACCACCTGCGAATCTGGGACAGGCAGAGCCGGGCTCGCCGCAATTATCTGCGGATTAAGGCAGCTAATTTAGTTTGAGTTACAGAGAGCAGATTGGGTCGATACGTTGGGGTGAAGCACGGGCAGGAGGAATCGATAGGCTCTCAGCAAAGCAGACAGGCTGTGCATCCCATTGCGGCGGCTTCGGGGCCGTGGCAGTGGGAGAGGAGGAGATGCAGAGCTCTGTGCTGCCAGCGGCCCCTGACCCCCCGCTCCCCTCTGACACAGCAACGCGATGGGAGAAGGGTCCTTTTTCATGGCTGACAGCCCATCAATATTTATAGCAGCCCGTTAAAAACGTCCCCCACATCCCAGATGAACCCCAGGGCCCTGGGCAGCACCCGAGCACTGCTTACGGTGGCAGGGATGTCTGTGGGGGGGGGGGGCGGGTGCCATCGCCGCGGGGGGCTGCGCAGTGCTCAGTGCAGGCGCTGCTCATGGCCCTGTGCTGGGCACCAGCCCGGGGATGTGTGTGTGTGCGCAGGGCTGCGGGGCCACGTGAGCTGCTGTTCCTCTCTGGGAGGAAAATGGGCAAGAAAAGGCATCAGGGTTTTGGTGAATGAATGGAAACTAAAGGCGGAAAGAAGGGGACAAAGCTGTTTTCAGGCCCCTCAGGGGATGGCAGGGATGGCAGAGCAAAACCTTGCTTAGAAAGAGTAGACCAGGACTGAAGAGCTGGGCAGCATCCTGCTGTGATGGGCTGCTGGGGAGGACGGTGCGAAGGCACGGCAGCAGCGGGGAGCAGCATTAGGAGTGGGATTAGAGGGAAGTAATTCACGTTTAATTTAAAGTCCTCCGCCTTTCTTTAATTTTCTCCCGTATTGCTGTTTTCTTCACTAAGTGACACATAGTTCATCTGTTGGCAAAAGGAGGCCATTCCTGCATGCAGGCTGGTACTGGTGAGGGACAGGAGACAGGAGCAGCTCCTGGAGCTGGGCTGTGAGCAAAGACCTGTCTGTCTGTCTGTCTGTCTGTCCGTCTGTCTGATTGTTTCTTCCCCCAGGGCTGTGCACATTGAACTTCAGACTTCTTCCCTTTGTTTGCTGCCATTTATCTATAATTTAGGATGGGTTTTAGCTATATTGTAATTGAGTTTCACGTGTCACAGTGCGTCTCAAACAGAAAATATAAATATTTAACAACTCCACTGGTAATAAAGATTCACATTCTCCTCGTTCTGGTTGCCAGCACATGAATATTCGGCATCGTGCTCCGTGGGTATTAACTCCATTCAGATTTATCTCCGCTTATGCAATATAACATTAATGACAGATAGAAGCCAGATATGGAAAGAATGAAATAAATCGCCCCCCCCCCCCCCCCCCCCCCCCGCAGCACCACCGAGGCCGTGCGGTGCCATCAGCCCCCGGCTGAGCTCTGCCGTGCTTCTGCCCTGCCGTTCCTGCCCGCCCGCCCGGGCTGGGCTCGATCTGCTGCCTGCGCTGCTGAAAATGCGAAGTGCCGTTTAATTCGGAGCTGTAAGGACAGCATCCCCATGACGGCTCCGCCGGGATGTTTTCGGTGCCAGGAACCCGGAATCCATCCCAAAGTATCTTTAAAAGGGAAAATGTCAGGTTTGTCTGTAGCATGACAACGAACCACCTAGGAGCAGTGACATCAGCACCCAGCTCGCGCTGGGGCAGTGCCTACGTGGAACGGGAACATCTGCTCTCTGCTGGAAGGAGAAGGAAGATCTCCTCATCAGCATTAAATTTAAATGAGCCATCCCTCATTTTCACGCCTCTGCGGCGCTCGGGCTCCTGCAAAGGGGCGCTCGGGTTTGGCGGAGGCTCGGCACGAAGGCGGCCGCCTGCAAGGGAGCAGCGCTTCTCCTCCCGAGGCTCCCCAGCGCATCAGCGGGGCCGCCTCCCGCAGCACCTGCGGGAAAGCAAAGCCACAAGGAGCCCCGGGTCCCCGCCGGTGTGTCGTTCGGTGAACCGCGGCCCCATCGGTGCCCGATGACGGCAGTGCCGTTGCGCCCGGAGCCGCTCGGCCGCCCGCTTCCCCCGGCATCGCGAGCTGCTGCGGCGTGCTCCACATTATTCTTAATTATATTTCACTTTAAAGGGTCATTAATTACAAAGATTTCCCAGAAGAGATCTTAAAAAGAAAGAAAAGAAAAAAAAAAAGAAGTGAAACAATAAAAAATCTCTTCCACATCAAGGGCTGTTGCTGGGATGCAGACACCGGTGGCGAGGGCTTTGGGAAGAAAACTGGCACAGGAGGGGCTCCTTTGTGAGCGCCGCCGTCACTGGCAGCACCGGTACGGACGGCCCAGGTGCTGAGCAGCTGCAGAACAGGGACACGTCCACGTCCATTTAATATTCTTTTGTTTCAAAACCGTTTGGATCATTTGCACCCCAACCAGCGGGGGAAGCCGTGACTTCAGCACGAGGAAAGGGCTGCGGTGGACACAGTGCCCCAGACCCTGGGGCCGTGACAGGGGTGGGACCTCATCACCTCTATCCCACACAGCACGGTAGGGTGAGGTGGGGCATAATGAGGTTCACCTGCAGGCCCCCACCCCCAAAACCACCACCTGTCCCCCATTAGTGCTCTCCAGGTGGTGTCGCACAGTGCTGCAGCTCTGCTCCTGCTGCCGCCCCCCTGAGTTGCTCAGTGTGGGGTGAAGGCATCCTCTGGCTGTGCAGGTAGGAGTTTGGGGCGATGCTTCTCCCAGGGGTGGTGGAACCTCCTGTAACTGCTGCGTTTGGGATGCGCAGGTGGGAACGCCGCTGACTGCTTCTGCGTGCTGTTGGGGTGGAGAGTTGAACACTGCCTTTCTGGAGCTGCTCAGGAGGGCTGCAGGGTGGCTCGTGCAATTTGCACGGGTCCTCTTTCACGTGCTGAGTGAGGGCTTTGCAACCCAGAGCTCAGATCTGAGCCCTGCAGCCCCCCCGTTGTAGCAGCCTTGCGTTCTCTCCCAGCCCAGCTCTGCACCCCTCCTCTCTAGGATCACCCTGACCAACTTCGGTGCCTTGTTGTGTTTGGGGAATCTGGAAGCGCTCCCAGCACTGCTGGGACCAATGCCTGTGGGCATCTCAGTGCTGCGCCGTGCTGGGGGACGGCCGACGAGCGTCTCATTTCCCTCTTGTCTGTTCCTGTCAGACAAGATTTGAAAATTCAATTACAGTGGGAGCGCTGATAGAAGTGTTGCTGGCGTGCTGCTCGCTCCTGGCACACGTGCTCCATGGGAGCCAGATGAAAGCATAGAGCTATGCAGGGGGGGGGCTGTGGGGAGTGAGGGCTGACAGATCCAGGGAGGAAAAAGCAAGAGATGCAGATTTTTGGGAGGTTTGGGGCAGGTTTTGGGGAGACTTGGAGGTGTGCAATGGCCCCAAACCCCTGCTGTGTCCCACTGGGGCATCTGTTTGGGACTGCAGCACTGCAGCTGTGTGCATGTGGCCAGCAGAGGTTGTTTGCCCAAAACCCAGCCCTGTAAAGTGGGGGTCTGCAGAGCAGCACTGAGATATGGGGCTGGAGGCTGCTGCACGTGGGGCTCAGCATGGTGTGGTGCTGTGGGATGCTGGGCCAGCTCTCTGCACAGCCCACGAGCCCAGAGAGCCCACATCAGATGGCGCTGTCTCAGGCAGGCAGCAGCAGAAGGCTGCATTTCAGCTGGGATTTTTTTTTTTTTCCCTTTCTGAAGGCTGTCTCTTCCTTGAAAGCTGTGTTTTGTACCAGCACTTCAGAGGAAAGTGGGGAAAATCTGGGCCGTGTGCTCTTGGCTGGAGAGCTGCAGCTGCTGCTGTGTGTGTTGGCTGCAGGTGCTGCACAAATTGTATACGGCCAATGTCCAGTGCAATGCTGGTACGAGTGTCTGGGAGAAAAGATGGTGAAGCAGCAGAAAAAACTCTGGTATGCCCTGCCACTCTTTTTGCAATGAACCTGTTTGCGTTTTGTGTCTCTGTGCCATGTTTGGGCTTTGGGGCCGAGGGCCTGGGTGTGGGGCTGCACTCCAGGGGGGACGAACCCACAGTTCCACACA